AACTCTTCTGTGAATGAAGAATTTTACAAGAAAAGCAACAGACTCTATAGCAATAAAACATTCTGCTCCTATTTGCTGTTATTGAATTATATATATATATAAATAGAGAGAGAGAGAGTTCTGTGAATAAAGTAAATAGAATATACATGCTATTCATGCAAGATCACATATGTCTGTGAAAGTTCTAACATGTAAGAAAGTACTGTTTTATGCCAACATACATTAGTCAAGAACCACATAAAACCAGGATAATCACAGAGGATATTAAATGTTCACGGTTTGTCACCTGAGACCTGAGAAAGTTAGGATCAATGGAAAGTGATAACGTTTTGTTTCTTAGTTACTGCCTATTAAAAGAAAAAAAAAGGAAGAAAGAAAACCCAGTGGGTGAGATTATGGTCACAAGAATGTTCATTTTCTGCTGCTGGCATGAAGTTTCCCAGGAGAACAATTTGCTAGTATCCAATAAAGTTCAAGACACATAGTCTTTGGAAGTAATCTCCTTTGCAGACATTTGAGGGAAGCCTCAAATTTAATGTCAAAAGAGAACAAGCAAACAAAGCATTATGGAAAAGAGGGAAAAACATTCAGGGAAAATTACTTAAAAGACACAGACGAAATGTTGTTTAAAGAAATATCTAATACCTTTAAAATATGATCAAATGCCACTTTTGAGAAATAAGAACAGAAAACAAGGAGAGATAAAAGGGACAATGAGCTGAGAAACAAAGACTCTTTTGATGAGAAATATGAGAGCAAGATTTTTGTTTTGTTTTCTCAAGAGAGTTGAAGCTGTATCAAATTACTAGATAGACATAATCCACAACCACCACCACTAACCTCCCCCCCAAAAAACAAAGGGAATGGGTTTTCATCTACCAGGAGCCACATAGGGATTTGAAAGGTTGGTGAACAAATTGTCATGGAAAGACAGTCTTCAAGAGGACCATAGAGCACAGAGGCTGTCACCATCCATGCCAGAACTCTGCCTGCTGATTGGGCCAGGAGGACAGGGACTGTGGAGGTTCCTCAGACTACTGTTATATAATGTTGTCACTCCGGTATAGAGATCTGTTTCCCTTTGGGGACACATAATTCTTCTCCATATTCTATATTGACACATGATAATATCACCTTCTTACCTAACTTTTTAAATGCCATGATTTTTTTAAAATGTGGTAGAGCACAAAGTCAATTAATTGCTGACAGAGGTAGTTTTGAGAGTTCACATGTGTACAACTGCCAGTAGGTTCATCGCTTTTGCTGGGTTTAATTAGCAGCTGCAGTGCCTATCACCACATGACATTCAGCCCCCTCTGTGGTTGTTGTATAACCTGCCAGAAGGGACTGATAGCCTTCTTTTATGACTGAAGCTCACTGAGCTACTCCTTTCAGTGGCATGGGCATTTTTGGGGAGAACATCAGCTGGTTCTAATATTTGTATGCTGGCTTTAAACTGGAAGTATGACTGCCCAGCTACCAGAGAATCCTGTATATAGAATTTTAAAATGGAAATAAAAGGATGCTGCACTTCTTTCGCTGTTATTTTAACCCAGGTAAGAGTGATGTAAAAACAAAAAGGGACAATGGAATAAGCGTCATGTAAACAGGAAGCATTGTGTACAATGTTGACAATACACTACTTACAAAGTGGAATGGGCTGTGTGATTCCCATTCCTTAAATATGAAAGTAGAGAAAATAACCATTAAAATTTTTAATAGGTATAGATGAAGGCAGCCCAAAATATAAAAAGAACAACAGAAAACAAATGTGGGGGACTTGCTTATCTCAGAAACATGGCTTTTCAGTGTGATACTGAGACATACAATTTTTTTCAATTGTCGTACCACATTCTACACATCATTATTAGGAATTTTTCAAACTTCCATTCCTTTATATGGAGACACTTACATGAGGTCTTAGAAATAGAGAGGCTCCCTTTTAAAAAGATTTTGCCAGTGTCTATTGTCAGCCTCTAATTCTTGCCTTTCCACGTGCTCCCTACCAGCAGGAAGAGCACAGACATCATAGCTGGTTTGATTCGCAGCTCTGAGTCACTTCCTGAGTCTGTTTGTGTTCAATTACCGTGTCAGGCCCTGCCAGATCCCTCCTGAGTAATTGTTCAGGATCCAAAATGTTAAGGGCCAACATTACAGAAATTCAGGAAACAAACAACAAAAGACCTAAACTGAACAAAAGCATTAAGTCATCACTAGCCTCCACCTGCCCATTTCTCTCTAGAACATTTCTAAAAGCTTTCAAAATGGAGTTGAAAACTACACCATAAGAAAAGTAAATAATTAATACCTATTTGCAATCATGTCAGAATTATCTCTAGTTAGTTCTTAAGTATCTTTATGCTATGTGTATGTGAAAACTGAATGTATAACATAAAATAATATATATTACTTATACATGTAAATATTTCTGTATGCATACATGTATTTATGTTGACATTTGTATATTTTACCTCCAGGAATAATTATACACACATCCATTTGAACCAAGGATGGTTAGCAATCATAATTACATTGTCAGATTTGTGTTTGTGATTTTTTTGCATATTGTATTGTCTGAATGTTGATTTTTAACTGCATATCCACAATTCACTCCCATCCATCAATGTTGTAGGAATACTGGTTTTACTGTAATTGTTATACTTAGTGGTAAATATTTGGGTTTTATTGACACAGAATGAAGGCTTTGTAATATTAATTTATTTCTATATCTGCAGTCCTGAGAATCACACCCAGGGCTTCACACATTAAGCAAGTAGATATGTCGAAGGTTTAGATCCCCAACACAGGCATGAGGCAGGTCCTATGTGAGATTTGAATACTGATATTGTCACTTTTGAATCTCAGGATCTCAGATTGATATTTTGAATCATTTTCTTTTTTATTTTGTTCCCTGGGAAAGAGTAAAAGGCATGCAATAATTAAAGCAGTATGTGTGGGATGACATGATAGAAAATCATATGAGTTACTTAAAAGCTAAAGCATATGAAATAATTTATCCTTCATAGATATCTCTATATCCATTTGTTCAAGCATAAATTAGGGTCATATTCAACTAAGGAAGTGAAATTTTCTTACTGTTCTCCTCATGGAAGCTGCATTTACCATGTGATTTACTAATACCCTCTTTTAACCTATGCCCCTCTGAAGCTGGCTTAAATGATTGTGGCCTTTACATCACCACCTTTTGCATTCTTCAAGTGCATTTCTGGGGCTGAACAACACCAATTTCATAGTTTTAAATATTTTTGAATGCCCATGTTATTTTCAAGACTTTCAACAAATATATGTAAGGAGAAACAATTAATATTGATACCTGTAGTTAGGTGGGGATAGAGTTCTAGATTCAATCAGTTTATGGTGACTTTCTTTAGCTGGTCAAATTGGAGTGTTATGTAACTCAAATCCTGAAGATGAGAACCTATCATTATTCATTATTTCACTCCTACTTAAATACATATAAAAACCTGTGTAGGTAAAGTGGATTTTCACACCTTTAAAATTTCTACTACTGCCACATGTGGTGGTCCGTAATCCTAGCACCCAGAAATCTAAGGAATGAGGCTCACAATTTTAATGTCAGTCAAAGTTGTATATCCAAACAGTGTCCCAAAAGAATTCCAAAATTCGGGTTGGAGAAATGACTTCTTGGTTAGGATGCTTACTATATAGTCATGAGGTCTGGAATGTGGCTCCTAGAACTACATAACACCCTTTTTTTTCTGACCTCCTGGAAAACACACACACACACACACACACACACATTTATATTTTTTCCTACTCTTTAGTCATTTACTCTTTGTTCTTTGCTCCTTTGGGGGTTTGCCATCAAGGTCCCAAATAAATCACACAGATGGAGGCTTATATTTCTTATGAATTCCTAGATTTAGCTTGGCTTATTTGTAGCCATCTTTTCTTAAGTTATCCCCTCTGACGTTTGCCTGTGGCTTTTACCTTTCTCTATTTATCTATATATTTTCCTTCCTTCTTATTTCATGTCTGGCTTACGTGGCTATGAGGCTGGCCCCTTCTTTTCTTCCTTCTTGATCCTTTTCTTTCCAGATTTTTCTTCCCATGTATTCATTTTGCCTGTCAGCCTCACCCATCTTGATCATTCATCACTTTATTAGACCAATCAGGTGTTTTAGATGGGAAAAGGAACACAGCTTCACAGAGTTAAACACAACATTAAAGAAAGCCACACATTTTTGCAACATTAAACGTTCCACAACATAAATGTAACATACCTTAAGTAATCTTCAGCAACACACATTCATACATATGCACACATAAATTTAAAAAAAAGAAGTCTTTCAAAAAACACTAAATCAAAATAATCCCCACTGTTATAAATAATGCCAGTTTTTTAAACCATTTAAAAACTGCACAAAATCTATAAACTGGACTAAGGATGAAGCCCATGCCAGATCCCTTGGTTAGCATATGTGAAGTCCTGAGTTCTGTGTCCTCCAATCCAACAAAAATTGAGGGGGGAGGAGGGTAATAAACTCCTAAAATTAATAAATTTGGGATATTGTGATTGATCATTTTCACTGAAGGACATAAAATTTCCTTGTCCATTCAAACAAAAGCCTCCAAACAGAGAGCCCAGGCCTAATATTGATTCTTTCAACCCTGAGAAATTAGTCACTACTGTACTTTTTCAGGCTGTCACTTTGACAACTTATTTTGGTTGAGTTAGCCTTTCCAGTTCTTTTCTTATCATGTCTTGTCTTGCTCTCACCTCCCACAACCTTTTATGAAATAGTGTAATTTGTACCCAGGATATGATCTAACTCCAAGTGTATCTTTGAACTTCTAATCTTCCTTCCTGCCTCTACTTCATGAGTTTTGAGACTACCAGCTTCAATTACTGTGCCTGCTATATGAGAAGCTGGGAATTGAACCCAGGGCGTTAGGCATGAAGAAAGCCTCACACTAACTGAGGTTTGTTTTAAATAACAACAACTCACACAAAGTAATTCCAACTACACTTTTAATAATGCAAAATACACACTAGTTGATGTAGCAGCATTTCCCTGAACAGTGTTTTACTGGAGTAACCCTACTTATTTTCCTCATACATGATAACACTTTATCAAAGATGATAATGTATTTCTCAGGGGACTGAATTCTTTGGTTAAACTTTTGTTTTTCTCAGGAAGATCTTGAAAGATCTTCCCATCTCATTTTCTTTTGCTTGTTGGGTTGTTGCTTTTGTTCCATTAAATGATCTGAAACAGCTAAATGGTGTAGCCAGTGCTTTTTATTTGAATAGTGCATAGGAAAAAATATAACTCTTCCTCAGAGGAACCGCTATGACAAACAATGTGTGCAAAGCAGACAGGAGCCTTGGAAAGCTCCCAACACTCAGAGTACTAAATGGTGACCAGTAGAGGAAGCTGGCAAGCTTTCCGATGCACACACCCCTCTCCTTTGTTGCTTAAAAAGGATTCCTTCATCTCCTTTAAAGCATCAAATCTCATAAAATGAAACAAGGCTTAATGAAACGTGCAAGTGACAGGTAAGGCAAGTGAAGACCTGTCCATTTTCTCTTCTAAAAATATTTTATTAATTCTTTGATAATTTCATACAATGGATTTGGAAAGGTTCCCTGATTTAGGAGTATAGAAATTTTCAGATTTTCCCAGAGGTGCTGAAGCCACAAAACAAGAGTGCACATTCCAGCTAGTAAAAGTCCTTCCCCATGGGAAGTTCTTGTGAGCTTCTCCCAGGTTTCCTGAACTCAAGCTCTACACACTACACAATAGGAGTTCCATAGTTCAAAACCTAGAAGGAATTTCCCAGAGACACACATGCCCATCTCAGCAACAATACAAGCTGCGCTACAAGGAGGACATTCATAGCTAAGTTAAAGACATGATCAGACTCACTACCAGAAAAAGAAGCTCTTGCTGTGTAAAACTTGGCAATGATTTTAGAAGCTAATCAGGAAGATCTCTCTGCTGAACTCTCAAATGTGTTGTCAACTTCCTTGGCATCTTCAGCTCACAATATCTAAGTAGTCACATCTGCAGGATGTTGTACCGGTAACTGGAAAATAAGGATACTTTGTCATTTTCCATATATGGCTTTCATTATAGATACACAAGGAAAAAGTGTTTGGATTTGACACTATGTAAATTCACATGCACACACAGACACATTCATAAGGAAGCACACACAATCATATAACTATAGATAGCTGTATGTACATAGACATACATTGATATAGTTTCAATGTAGAACATCTTAAAATGACCCATTGGTTAAGGGATTGATCCCAAGCATGATTCACTTAACCTTAAAATTCTGACATTGATGATATACTCAGTAGGATGAGTTTAACTTTTTGCCATTGTTCCCTTGGAGTGGATTGTGGGATCTACACTTTTCTTCTTTCACATTTTTAATCCAGCCTTTGGGGTATTTTGTTTTGTTCCATTATTCATTTATTTTAGAGTGTGCTGCCTCACCACAGACCCAAAATAAAGGGATCAATGAGCCATTAAAAGGAAATTCTCTACAAATTATTTTATGAGTTGATTGTTGTTTTTACTTACTGTAGTAACAGGAAGCTAGTTAAAGCATACACTCTATCTAATTATTGAATAGACAGATTGCAACTAACTGTGGTATGCTCAGGTTTAAGAAATTTAATCCATGTAACTTACAGTTCACACTGCCAGTGCTTATTCCATTGTCTTTATGACTGAAAAATATATAGATCTTCAATATGAATGGTAAGAAAGGCAAAGGTATGTATGTGTATGTTCATGTATCCTTTGGAGATATAAACCCATTTTAACTATTGCAGAGCAGGTTAGTGCATTTAGTACTCTTACATAAAATCTTGTAGTCGCTCAGTGGCTTCTTACCAAATATAAATGTTTATATGTGTTTACCTGTATGTTGATAACAAGTTTTCTTTACTTACCTATTAGTTTTTCTACAGAAAGTTCATGCCCAAATTATAAATTATTGTCAGTCTCTAGTCCAAAACAGCCAGCAATTATCTAGGCAAATCTATAACATGCTGAAAATCTGGAAGGATAATGAATTTTGTGATTTGCTTTCTATCGACTGTTCTACTAATGTAGTTTGACAGAAGCACAGCCTTTATAATTCCATTGTAAAAGACCCATAGGTGCATGCAGTTTTTTACCTCCTTTATTCTGTAGGTTCCAGAGAGAAAGTGCTTGGGGTGTGACCATAAAAATTTTACTGATGCCATTGTCACAGGCAGTACTTTAACATCTCTACTTTGTTCTTAATTTACACTGAAGACTCAGAGAACTTTATAGTTACTGTTTTCTATGCCTGAAAACAAATTTCTGGAAAACACTGTAAGATATTGCCCCTATAGTCCACTTTTCTCAAGAACCTTTTTGTTGATGCTAAATTCATGACTCAATCAGTAAAATGCTTGTTAACAAGTTTGAGGAAATTAGTTTGTATCCACAGCACTCATTTCATGCATTTGTAATTCCAGTGATGAGGAAATGTAAACAGATATATCACTGGAGCTCATTGGCTCTTGGGCAAGTCGACTCAACTTCATGTTCAGCAAGAGACTTTGTCTCAAAAATAAAAGTCCTAGAAAGTGGTTGCTGAAAACTACATCTATCTCTGACCACAAGAATGCAGGTATACATACATGAATGCATGTGTATGCATGTGTGTACACACACACACACATTCATATGCACACCACAAACACACACATGGGAGTTCATGGTTAACATTCCCAAAGCCTCTCAACATATTTTAGTCAGTCAGGGTTTCTTTTGCTTTTTGCCAACTTACAAGTATTTGAGGAATTTGTTTTTGTTTGTCTATACCAAGTAAAATATGAACTAAATGAAATACAAAACAAATAACAAAAAACACCAAAAGTAATGCATTGTCAGTCCCTTCTACTTCCTCAATGTTCAGTATCACATTTACTATATAGGAAGTGGCCAATAAATATATATCCCATCACTGTATCATCTATATCAGCTTTGACAATGTGACAAGGTTTCAAAGCCTAAACATGACTTTCCCACTTCTGTACATCCTACCATAAAACGTTGCTGAAAGACAATAGGATATGAAAGGTTCATCCCACCCACTTCTGAGCTCTGTTTCTTTTCTACTGTCTCCTGAAGAAATCTCCTAGAACAATCTCCTCATCCTATTTCCTTGATGAGCTCTTCAGGGTCTATCCAAAAGAAGTCTACATTCTCCCTAGTTTCACCTGGGAGAAATAAATCTCTTTGAGTTTGAAGAGTATCACACACTCAATAATGCATGATTCGTTCTTAATCATTATCTCTTTGCACCCTGGAAAGGCTTTTATGTGTATCCAACATCCGGCCATTGACCACTACATCTCTCCACAAATTCATCCCTTCATTAATCCAGCTGCCTGGCCTGCACTGAATTACGAAGCCAGGATGGTATTTATAGCTTGACAAACAGGGTCAATGAAAGCAATGGTTCAGCTTGTTCAAATAGAGAAATAAGAACTCAGGTGGAAACAGAAAGTATTTTCTGCTCTTGTATATATCTACCCCTTTATCCAACAGTTACTGAATTGAAAACATGCCATTGTGTGGAATAACACAGACATCAAAAGTCAGGCAGCAAGGGAGACAGGCAAAGTCACTCTATGTGAATATGATTTAACAATGCAAGAAACTAATATTTAGTTGATGCGAATCTAAAAGTTTAGATAGTGTTAGTATCATAAAGTGATTAGATCTAGACAACAGAACATTTAGGCTTTAGCTAGAGGCTGAGACATCAGTTGCTGACCTCCAGAATTCTATGAATTTTCTGAAAAAATGATAAAGCTCTTAGAGGAAGACCTACTTTTAGTAATGATAGAAGTTGTGACACTGGAGTTCCCATATATCTTACTTCAGGTTACCCTGAAAAGCATTCTGAGACAAGGCTTTAAATACAGACTGTTATAAAGTTACTTCCAAAATAAGCCAATACACCAGGAGAATAATGTGGAATGTGCTGTGAAGAACAGAGACTTTCAGTCTTTTGTGTTGTATGTTTATTTCACTTTCTTTCACGGGTGGTGATCTAAAGGAAACCTTGCTCCATGATTTGTTTCACTCCAAAATAGAAGTGTAGGCTTTCAAATATCAGCCCTCTAATCAGGGGTCACTCTCTACCTCTGGTTGTCTACAGTTTTGTGGAGGCAGGAGCCTAGTGCATCCCTGAGATCAGCTGTGGCACTTTCCAAGAAATTAAATTTCATATGCAGGGTGGGGTCCATAGTTTCTGCCGTTAGGTGTGAGCAAGTCTGGTTGGAGTTTTAACAGTACCAGAAAGAGCCAGAGAGCAAAAAGACAGAGAGAACCCTCATGAATAACAGATAGAAGGGGGCTTTTGCAGAGCTTTCAGTAGATCAGTGTAATTCAGGATGGGTCTCATTTGGAAGAAGGACAAGAACAATACCAGGGAGAGTCAGGCAGTGTGGCAAAGAGATTATATCTGGCTCTACTGTAATATCTTTCATTGTGGTGGCGTCAGTAAGAATGCCTTCCATAGGTTCTCAGATCTGAATACTTGGGCACCAAGAAGTAGCACTATTTGTAAAGATTAGGAGGTGTGTCCTAATTGTTGGAGGAAGTGTGTCAGTTAGGGTGCACTTTGTAGTTTCTTGTTTATTTTGTATTGATTTTTTAAGTATTGTTTTTAATGATTGTATTATTATTATTATTATTATTAACTACTATTACATCCAAAGTACAGTTTCCCCTCCCTCCTCTTCTCCCAGTCTCTCCTGCCTACCTCCACAATGTCCCCTCCATCCACTCCTCCATTTTTTATATTCAAAAAATGGGAGGCCTCCCATGGATATCAAACAAACATGGCATATCAATTTGCAGTCAGACTTGATATCTCCCCTAATATTAAGGCTCCTCAAGGAAACCTAATGTGAAAATAGGGTCTCAAAAACTGGCAAAAGAATGAGAGTCAGCCCTGGATCTTACTGTTAGGAGTCCCACACGAAGAACAAGGTACAAAACTGTCACATATATGCAGAAGACTTAGGTCCCATCCAGGTTCTGGTGATCAGGTTAGTCTTCATGAGCCCAGGTTGGTTGATTCTGTCAGTTTTCTAGTGCTGTCCTCGACCCTTCTGGCTCCTATAATCTTTCCTCCCCATCTTCCATAATATTGCTGAGCTGCACCTAATGTTTGCCTGTAGGTCTGCTTCTGTTTTCATCAGTTACTGGATGAGACCTCTCTGATGACTACAGGGTAGACACCAATCTTTGAGTATAGCACACATTTATTTTGCCATTTGTGCTTTGTTCAACTCTGAGTCATCCAACCTCTGATCCTGGCACTCTAGGCAACATTAAGGGTGTGCTCCCTCTCCTGGAATGGGTCTCAGGCTAGGCCAGTCATTGGCTGGCCACTCCCACAATTTCTGTTCTACCTTTACCACAGCACATCTTACAGGCAGGACAAATTTTAGGCTGAAGTTTACATGGCTGAAGTTAGTGTACCAATACCTCCATTGAAGTCCCTTATTGCTAGGAGTCTTAGATATGGTCACCTTTGTTGATACCTAGTTGTTTCCATTTCACTTCATCTCTACCTGACCTTAAAATGCCCCGCTTTCCAGTCTTATTTTCCAGTACTCCCTCCCACTCACTTTGATCGCTCCTATTTCTATGCCCACCCACCCCCAGTCCACTTGAAAAATCTATTGTATTTCCCCTTTCCAAAGAGATCCTTGCATTTCCCCTTGAGACCTCTTTGCTACTTAGCTTCACTGTGTCTGTGCATTACAGCATGGTTATTCTTTACAACTAATATTCAATCATAAATGAGTATATACTATGTTTGTCTTTCTGGGTTTGACTTACCTCACTCAGGATGATTTTTGACTACTTAAATCCATTTGCCTGTAAATTTCACGATGGCATTGTTTTTAAAAGCTGAAAACTACTCAATAGTTTAAATGTTCCAGATTTTCTTACCCATTCGTCTTTTGAGTTTGTTCCAATTTTCTTGCTATAAAGGATAAAGCAGCTATGAAC